TTGAGCATGCAGGGCTGGCAGAGGTTTTGACTCAGAAGATGACAGGCACCAGTGATGTCCCAAGATGCCATTAACAGACCAGGACCGTGCTTCCAAACCATTGCCTTCCTGCCAGAGATCTGACAGTGTTTTTGCAGGAGTAGCCGCAGCTGTAGCTCCTAAGGGCTGTTCCATATTGCATTTCCAGAAAGCAGCTTCCAAATGCGTCATTACTGCACCAAAGGCAAAGGCTGCAGCCCTCCCCTGGTGCCTCTAGTTTGCCATAAGCAGGAGATAAATGTCTAGAAGGAGGAAATGTGGTTTGGAGAATGGAAATGCTGCAGTGCTCGCTGCAGTGTGATGGCACATGTTTGCCCTTTAACACAGCACTGTGCACTGTGGAGGGTAACAATTATCTTGCATTCTTTATTGGAAAAAAACCCATGTTTACTTCTGCTGAGTTCTCCCAGAGCTTTGTGCTTCTCCCCTCAGTGTGTACTCATCCCAGTCAACCTCTGCTGAGTCAAGGACTGGATCTCCATCTCCCTCCACTCTTCACTAGCAGTGAGAGGAGGCTACCTATGGCACTTAGGTGCTTTAATTAAGTGACTGTAATGGGTAGGACAGATCCTCCCTCAATAGCAATGCCTTGCAGCATAGATGCAAAGGGTTACACACCCATCACTGCTTGTCAGTATCCCATGAGAGCCACCCTGCAGTGCCTGGGGATCTTCTGCCCTCTGTTAGGAAACTTACCTGCTGCACCAGAGAAAGCATCAAAGCATCCCCTGAGGGCACGAGAGAGCTAATGTGCCAGAAGGGACAGGCATAAATCCATGTCTGGAGTGTTTTCCCACCTGCTGTTTTAAATAGGGTGCATGTAGCTAGGTTACATGTCACAGTTTTTTCTGCTTTTATATATAAGCCCTCAGGTAATAACTGCCTGTCCATACTGAGCACTGCCCAGCCATGTGATGAAGTCCCAGCAAGAAGAATTGTCTTTGAAAGCTTCATTGCTTCTTTTCCCTACCAGTTTTTTTCCCTATCTTTTTCCCTTGGCTTGGGATATCCCGTGAAATCCCTGCACATCCAGGGAGCAGCCGGATCCCTGCTTCTTCCAGCATGGTCTGAAGAAGCATATGCAGGCATTGCACACATGGTCAACCTGCCTGTCCTCCTACAACCTAAGGGGTTTAGCCTGGGTGTTCCACCTGCCCTTGTCAGAAGACATGGGGATGTCTTTGCATGCTCCAGGGAAGCGGGAATAAAAGGGTCAGCAGCTCCTGTACGTGACGTGGGATGAGGATCTGTCTGTTTCCACCGGCAGAGGCAGGGCAGCTACCAGGCAAGCAGCCTCCCGGAGCACAATGCCCCAGCCCTGATGGAGCTGGTGCGGGAGAAGGAGGAGAGGATCCTGGCCCTGGAAGCGGACATGACCAAGTGGGAGCAGAAGTACCTGGAGGAGAGTACGATCAGGCACTTCGCCATGAATGCCGCGGCCACTGCTGCAACGGAGAGGTAAGATGCAGCCCTTCACCACACGAAGTGTGGGGGAATAATAAGGAATGAGTGCTTTCTTAGTGCTGGATTTTGCTTGCCTTTCCCTGCTGAGTCAGGCTGGGGGGGTTAATGCACCTCTCTGTGGTGTCATGCCAGTGAGATACAATAGTTGGTTAAGGCAGGATTTACCCTTCTGACCAGGTCCAAAAGTTCATCAAATCAAGGCACCAGATTCAAGCACTGGACTGAACAGCAACGTGTCAGGCTGCCAAATGTATACAGCATAGGGAAGGCAACTCCTCCCCACAGCATCACTGCAGCGAGCAGGGGCTGTTGGTGTATGGCTGCACCCATCCCACAGTCTGCAACATGCGTTTTTAACCTAAAGGTCTAAAGTCCTGTCTGTTACCACTTCATTAAGCTTCAAAATAGAAAGGTTCTCCTGATAGCTAAGCTAAGCCTCTTTACTGCAGATTACTTCAACTGATTCTTGTCCTTCCCACACATAAACAATGAACAACAGATGACACCGTAACAGCCTTGTAAATATTGAAAGACAGATATCCCCTGTTGTGTTTTCCCTGGCCTGAACTAACTTACTTCCTTCAGCCTTTCCTCACTTGCCCTGGTGTAAAGCCCTTCCCTTTCACACAGCATTTCTCTGGTCTGTCTCCAGTTTGTGTCAAAATGTGGTGCCCAAAAGTACACAAGGCACTGCAGTGAGGCTTTCCACTGGTGAGGATGACAACATAATTCTTGCCCCAGTTTCTTAGAAGCCAAATCCCTTGAAAACATCCTAAAATGAGATTTCCCTTTGAAACACCATAAAGTGTGTGACTGGGGATGATCCTTTTCTTTCGCACTCCAGTCTAGGTAGCAGTTCCTGTGCTACTTCTCACCTTTTAAAGTGTTCAGTTTTGTTTCTTGTTTGCCATGTAATCTTGTTGATTTGGGACCATTTCCCCAGTGAGTCCCTCTGACATCTGAGCCCGTCCTTCAGGCTGGTTGTTAGCCTTGTTGGGGATAGCCCCCTATTTCAGCATGCTCTGTTCTATCAGCCCTTAATTAATGGCATTAATGACAAAACCCAAGCCAAGAGTAGCCCGCAGCAAGATGACCCAATGCCAGAATGACCCATCTTGTTGACAGGAATCCATCGCTAGCTTGCTCCTTGAGCGTGGGTTTGGGGTTTTCTTTGCACGTGCCCATCTCACAGCCTCAGGAACCCAACTCTCACCGTGTTGACCTGGTGTTTCAGGGACACCTCAGCCCCAAGCCACTCACGCAATGGCAGCTATGGTGAGAGTGCACTGGAGGTGCGGGGCTGGCAGGAGGAGGAGGAGATCGTGCAAGCCAACCGGCGCTGCCAGGACATGGAGTACACGTAAGGGGCTGTTGTGCCATACCTGCCTGTTGTGTGTTTGGGCTGGGTTCAGGTAAACCAGGATGCCCTTCTTTTCCTTCGTGCATGCCTGGAACGGGTGGGCTTAGCTTCACTTTGTAGTGCACTTCAGCATTAAAACACAGGTTGAAGCGTTGCTGTCATTAGATAACTTCCTCCCTACCTTCTTGTTAAACCTTCCCTGTGCCAAAGATCACCCTGTTACAAAAGAGAGGCTGTTCCACTGTTAAAAGTAGGTTGGCACACGAGGAAGCTGCACACTTGTTTAATCTTGGTGAAAATCCCTCTCTGGAAACGAGTGTCTGGTTGTAGAAGCTGACGTTGTAATCCCACTCCTACATAATCAGCAGCACAAGGGCATGCCTTTGCCTCGCTCTTTGCTCCTTGCCTGCTTATTACTCCTAGATGCACCAAGTATCCCACATCCAAGTTGTGTGGTTTGCACTGGCATTCAGGAACAAACCTGCCAAACGCAGCACCACGAGCACCACTAAAAAAGATGCATTTACAAGTAGTAGAAGGTATAAAATAAACTGGTTTGGGCACAGGCCGTCAATAAGAGTAGCGTTCATTGTTGCAGATGCTTTTTCAGCACACAAGTGGAGCTGTGGCTGTGTCGTTCAATGAGTTTTAGATCTGGGCAGTGTTTTTAATCCAGACTTTTTCTTTCCTGGTGAAAAATGGCTTTTTGATGAGTAAAAATCCCTTCAGGAAGGTTGTGTATTCCTCTGGGATTTTACTGAAGAGCACCAAGCTGTGTGGTTTGGTTGATACACTGGAGGGAAGGAATGCCATCCAGAGGGACCTTGACACGCTTGTGAGGTGGGCTGATGCCAACCTCATGAAGTTTAACCATGGCAAGTGCAAGGTCCTACACCTGGGCTGGAGCAATCCCAGACACAGCTACAGGTTGGGCAGAGAAGAGATTCAGAGCAGCCCTGCGGAGAAGGACTTGGGGGTGCTGGTCGATGAGAAAATGAACATGAGCCAGCTTCAGTGTGCGCTTGCAGCCCAGAAAGCCAACCGTATCCTGGGCTGCATCAAAAGGAGTGTGACCAGCAGGTCGAAGGAGGTGATCCTGCCCCTCTACTCTGCTCTCATGAGACCTCACTTGGAGTATTGTGTGCAGTTCTGGTGTCCTCAACATAAAAAGGACATGGAACTGTTGGAATAAGTCCAGAGCAGGGCCACAAGGATGATCAGGGGACTGGAGCACCTCCTGTATGAAAATCGGCTGAGAAAGTTGGGGCTGTTCAGCCTGGAGAAGAGAAGGCTGCATGGAGACCTCAGAGCAGCCTTCCAGTATCTGAAGGGGGCCTATAGGGATGCTGGGGAGGGACTCTTCATTAGGGACTGTAGTGATAGGACAAGCGGTAATGGGTTAAAACTTAAACAGGGGAAGTTTAGATTGGATATAAGGAGGAAATTCTTTCCTGTTAGGGTGCTGAGGCACTGGAATGGGTTGTCCAGTGAGGTTGTGAATGCTCCATCCCTGGCAGTGTTCAAGGCCAGGTTGGACAGAGCCATGGGTGAGATGGTTTAGAGCGAGGTGTCCCTGCCCATGGCAGAGGGGTTGGAACTTGATGATCTTAAGGTCCTTTCCAACCCTAACTATTCTATGATTCTGTGATTATACTCAAAATCTTCTCATCAGTGTTGGCTTCCCCACACAAGCACTGACACTTGTATAAAAACCCCAGTCCGCTTCTGCTGCTTGTGGAAAATATCACTGATTGATTGTTTTTACTGGGTTTGGGTTTTGTTTTCCACTCACAGATGCAAGCTAATCCTGCTTCCAGGGAAGGAATAGAGTTTTACCATTGGCTTCATTAATGATAGATTAGGATCTTGTGTTTTCATTGCAAATTAGACTGCTGATTATGAAAACTAATGCTGACATGAAGTTACTCACTGTCTCCCTTGGATGTGTAGGTTTTCCAGGTGTTTTCCAGGCATTTTAGCTTCACAAAATGGACTTTAGCTTCACATTGGACTGTGTGTTGTCACAGTCAAGCTATAATTATCTGGGTGTCATATTGTACGTGTACAGTTATATTTTTTATAATATGGTTTAATGTTCTTTGATATGATTCAGTTTTATCATTCTTGGAGAAAAGTCTCAGATAATCCTGTTCTTTTGGGATTTGAGTGCTTTTGGGGGTCTGTATGAGATGTGACCCTGATGTATTAGGGGATGGAAATTGCCTTTGTGTTTGTATTCTGGTGGAGAAAGCAATCTGCTGCCTGGTCAGGATACTGCCCTCATTGCTCCTGCTGGGTTGGTAAAGCCACAGCAGTAGGTGGGTTCAGTTAACCTTGCAGAAGAGTTCTCAGTTTTGGCTCAGTAGCTAGAAACGCTGCCTGTTTCAAAGTGCATGGTTATCCTCTGAAGAGTTGGTGGGGGCTGCCTTGTCTGGGTCACTCAAAACCAGAGGGCACGTACCCAGAGACCCATCCTGCTGCCCCAGGGTGGGGACACCTGCCCATATAAGCGCTTCTTCCATTCCTGTAAGCAGAGCATTCCTGTTCTTCCAGAATAAAGAATCTCCATGCCAAAATAATTGAGAAGGATGCCATGATCAAAGTCCTTCAGCAACGGTCACGGAAGGACCTTGGGAAAGCTGACAGTGCCAGCCTACGACCGGCTCGGTCCGTCCCCTCCATTGCTGCTGCTGCGGGTGTGCATTCACGCCAGACCTCGCTCACCAGCAACCAGATAGCTGAGGAGAAGAAGGAAGAGAAGGTCTGGAAGGGAAGCATAGGTGAGCTCAGGGTTTGGTTAAGCTTTGCCTCATCCATCACTTCATCCTAATCCTTCTGCTTGAGCTAAGCAAAAGTGACTTGACCGTGGCACACACTGCCCTGACAGCTTATTTCCAGAACGCTTTCTGTGGGCAGAATGTGTGTCCTTGTGCTGAAGTCAAAAATAAGTCATTTTTAACCTGGCATTTTATCTAAATTGTATTTTGATCCTATTAAATCATTCTGCATTGGTTATAGAAGGCCATAGTTGGGGGAAATCCTCCCAGACATAATCAGATGATGTTTGCAGCTTTGTGGGAGTAAATAACAAATTTGAGCTATGAAGAAAGCCTGGTTAATCAAGAGGGTAAGCATCCCTTTGGGTATGAGTGCATGATGTTAATTGGCTGCTAAATGGGAAAATGAGTATAGAACTGCCTGTGGCTTGAGGCCACATAGGATGGGGGTATAGAGGCATGCAAGGCTGTGCCAGGGGTAAGTACCACTGGGATGGGCATGCAGAGAGGATGCAGGAATAGGCAGCTGCTTTCAAGAGGCTGTTTTGAGGGGGAAAAATCATGTGGCTGACAGGAGAGCAACAGGCAGCATCAAGGGGAGAAGCTAAGCCAAGTTAAGGTTTAAAGACATAACCAGATCAGTGCCCTATAGCTCTGCTGTAGGATGGGGTTGACAGCACTTATGTTTGAGCTGGGATGTGACTGACCTCCATGTGTTTTCAGGACTGCTCTTGGGGAAGGAGCACCATGACCATCCGTCAGGGCCCTCACTGCCTCCTCCCCTGCCCTCCTTGTCCTGCATGCCCATCCCAGCGCCGGCGGCCTCCCATGCAAAGACAGGCAGCAAAGACAGCAGCACCCAGACGGACAAAAGCGCCGAGCTCTTCTGGCCTGCCACTGCCTCCTTCCCTGGCCGTGGACGGCTGGGTACCACCCCATCACACAGCCCGGCCCCACGGCCCCCGGGGACACGAGGGACCGGCGAGAGACTGGGTGAGATCTGCTGGACCCCAGTGTGGAATGTCAGCATCCGCACCCAGGGTTGTCATCAGACCCATAGAGACACCCAGAACTGATGGAGGGGGTTTGTAAGGTGGTGGGGAGCTTTCTTCAGGAAAGCTAAAACTGTAGAGACAAGGCTTTCCAAGGCTGCCTGGTCTGGCTTTCAGAGCTTCATGCTCCTGTAAAGCTCCACTCACCTGTGGCAATCAGTGCAATTATTCCTGCTGCCAAGGATAAAAGTACAGTGTCACACCTTGAAAATACTCCACACTTGCTTATGTACTCAGACCCTTCTCTTGTTTTCAATGTAAACGTGGTTAGTGAAAGCACCATTTCTTCCTAATTGATTTTAAAGAAAACCTGGAGGGAAATAGTAAGAAGGAAGTGGAGATTTAGGGAGGAGGGATTAAAGAAATACCATTTAATTATTATTTGAAAGGTGGAAGCTGCTGGTTTGCACCCCAGCAAGGGAGACATTTATTTTACACGTAGTATTTTGGAAAAGCCCATTTCCCATATATCCATCTCATCTCAAAAGCAAGCCTTCCCTCTGAAAATGTGCCAAGTGTTATTAATAGGGCTGAATATCACTGATTCCTTGAAACTCTGGATTGCTGTGTTTTGGGCAATCCAGATGGGAATTTATTGCGAGGTACTCCAAAACAAGCTTTTTCTGTTTATAAGAAATCAGAGTCCTTCTTCTCCCTGAACTTGACTGTCAGGAACTATGGTGATGAAGATAAACACCTAACAACATCTATCATACATTGTGATAATTCGCCATACACATTCTGTTATCCCATCCCACTGGCAAAGCAATACATTTTAGATTAAACTACCTATCTGATTATTTGTATACTGCCTTCATGGTGTTTAAAACATCCTAAATTTTGATGCCGAATAGGAGTAGAATGATGCAGAATAGGAATATAGATAGGAATATACATAGGAGCTCCTAAATTTTGATGCAGAATAGGAGTAGAATGATGCAGAATAGGAATATAGATAGGAATATACATAGGAGCTACCATGGATCAGATGGCAAGTGGGTAACTTGGTAAAGTGATGTAAGCCTTTGACAAATGCATCTTTCTCTCTAGGGCCACAGCTAAAGAGCTGCTTTGATCTGTATCTCTTAAATAGCATTGTTGTGCCTGCCCTTGGGGTCTGTGCACACCAGCACAGTTACTGTCGTTGTGCAGGGAAATGAGCAGTACATGTTCTCAGCCTCCTTGTCCAGTGTGGCTTTCAGTATGTAGGACATACAGTTAAGAAGTGTCCCACCATCACCACCACCCCCCCCCAGAAAAAAGGTGTTCATTTTTGCTTCAAGCATTTTGCTGTTGAATTTGAGCTGGAAACCAACTTTCCCTTGTTTCCCATTGCAGAGAACTCCAGCCACGGGAAACTGCCCGACAGCAAAGGCAGAGTGAGCAGCTTGCTCCACAAGCCTGAGTTTCCAGATACAGACATGATGGAAGTCCTCATCTGAGCAGAGGACAGCATCTCTGGGGATTTGTGTGCATACAGCCAGGTCCGAGATGGTCCCTGGTGTGCAACCCTTAAGAACTAACCCTGAGAGTCTGAAGAAAGAAACGGAAAGTTTGTGCCCAAAACAGAGCTTGAGTCTGGTATGTTGAGACTTTGGACCAGGCAAGGAGTAAAGGGTGCTGAAGAGGAGCGATGAAACGAACATATGGGGTTTTCTGAGAAGGAAGGGGCATTGAAGATGGAAAATGGCATGAGAAGGGGATCATTGAGGGAAAAGGAAACTGCATTTTCTGGTGTAAAGAGAAGGTATCGAAGTTACAGACTGGGTGCATACTGCTGCTCTGTTTTCCTGCCTCTCTGCAGCTGGGACAGGGAGTGAAATCCAGGCTCTTCAGAGGCCAGAAGGAGTTTGTGAATAACCCACGAGAAACTCGCATCTTCCTCAGTATCAGTTAACTTCTCTAAAGTATTTGCTGCTTAATCTCTGTGAATAATTGGTCCTTAGGTGTACACGGGAGGCTCTTGTGAGTATGTGTTTGAAGTGGCGTGGTTTTCCTGGGCAGGCAGGTCAGGTGCCTCTTTCCTGGCTGGACAAGTGTTGCTCTTGGAGCTGGATCTACAGGGCAAATATTCGTGTCTTGCAATCCCGGAGCCTGCTGAGAATTCTGGTTTTGGTAGGAGCAGTTGTTGGCTGGAATTCCCATGGAGGATGAATGTAGAGGGGGGAGGAGGGCCTGCTGAAGCAATGGGAAGGCTCCAGGAGGGAAGGTCGGGGGAGGATCTTAGCAGCTCCCTGAAGGGCTGTGTGTTGCATTCAGAGGGGTGTGTGTTTTCAGTGGAGTTAAGCTGGGTTTGCTTGTGAAGATGCCTCTTACCATGCACTGGTTTGCAGTAGTGGAAGAGTCAGTGTGTTCGTGGTAAGAATGGGCTTTTACCTTATTCTCAATGCCTACAGCCAAATCCTACCTTCCTTGAGAATACAAACCTCCTATTCAAGCTGACATGGGGCTGGGCATTAAGGGGTGTAGGATCAGGCCAGGATGGGTTTAACTGCAAAGTAGTACATGAGCATCCTCCTGTTTGCTGTGCTGAGCTGCAGTTTCTTCCCAGCTTGTTTTGCCCAGGGTGGAATATGGGTCATTTTCAGCTCAGTCCCTGATTCCTGTAAGAGGTAGTGACTGTGTAAGGCAGCCAACTCCCCAGCTGTGTTATTTGTGGCATGCCATTTGCTTCGTGCATTGCACATGCCAATAGGGAAGTTTTCCTCTGTAAAGTGTTTTTGTATTGGCTTTGCCGTTCCTGAACCTCGTGGTGCACTGAGAAGACCTTGTCTTTGGGAGAAAGGGGGATGGGGTTTTATGTGAAGCTGCCAAGAGTGGAAGAGTGATGGGTGCTGGAAGTAACTGTGTGCTCAGGGATAACTCAAGGCCACCTCTTCTTGTAGGTATTAAATCAGAGCCCTCGACTGTGAAAACACCAGGCACTTTAAACTCTGCTTTCACTGAAAACTGAAGTCCTCAAAGCCTTCAGGGGCCAGAGCCATGCACTCAACACTGCCTAGCTGATGCCTTTGGCATTTCAAAACCAATTGCTATGTTAAATCTATGCACTTACTTTCGTGTGTACATAGAATTAGATGTGTCGATGTCTCTCTCTCCCTGATCTTTGCACTTGTTAAAGTAGTGGTAGGCAGGTTGTGCAGGCAAGTGAGCTGTGCGTTTCAAGTATTAGCAGCTTTGCATTGTGAAACCAAACGTGTAAAACCCTTGGAAGATGTTATGCAGCTTAATATATGCCGTGTAAAATGGGTATGTTGGGTTTGTGTTTTTCTCTAAACTTAAATGTTGTGTTTGCATAAAAGCCAGGCCCATGAGTGGCATCAGTGCTGACCCACCTCTGTGGCCCTTCCTCAAAGGTCTGTGGTAGGAAGAGGACAAGAGGAAGCAAAACCAAGGGAGTACAGTGATGAATATTTCATTTGATTTCATCATGTTTCTCCAGGAAATAAGGATACCGAGGTGCTTGGAAGCCCTCAAGCATTCTATTACCAGCTGAATGATTTCTTTTGATGGAGCTGTTTAACAGGGTGTGTGCAGGCAGACAGCTGGGCATCCAGCAGAATCAGTGTGGGATCAGTGTGCATGATGTGGCTTTCGATTATGCTTGGTGGTGATTCAGCTCCGCTTTCCCAAGTCAGCTAGAGTACAGCACTCCTCCTTCTCCTCGTGGAGACCACGGTCCCTCCAGTTCCTGCTATCCAAAGGTGTGTCTACAATTGATGTTGCCCCCACATTCATGGTCACCTACAGGCAGCTGCTCATGGGAGACAATGGGGTAGTCAACTCCTGTTGTCGGCAACAGCTCCAATAAACCCAAAGCTTCATTCTGCTTTATCATGTTGAACTCAAGAGACATTAGTTTTCCTGGAGGGAACGTCTGGAGGGCCAGTGGGTCTCCCCTCAGCCCGAGCACTAGCAGGACCTGCATGGAGTACTACTGCCATGTATCAGCCCCTCTCAGCAGAGCATCACAACTCCATTTGTGCTGGTTTTCCCAGCTCTTGGAACTGTTTTGTGTTTTGGGAAACTGTGCTGTAGCCATTCCAGGTGACGTTGGTAACTAGTTGTGAAATACTGTCTTTTTTTGTTGTTGTTGGTTGTATAGGGAAGTGGGTGTACAGTGTTGTACAGCTGGAGGGTTACTTGTACATAAGGGGGGAAGTGAGGAACGTTATGTGTCACCCCCAGCAAATATTGATATTGTTGGTCAGCCAAAGATTTCGTATTGTTTGCTGTTTAAACTCGTGCCTTAATATTGTATATAATAAATGTATAAACACGTTTATTTTCCCACTTTTCCAGTGTGAGTGTATCGAGTCCTCAAGAGGAAAGGACTTCTTAAACAGCTGAAGCTTTGCACACCATGTGCTAGGACTAAGAAGTGGTACCTCAGGATTCTTCACTGGGAAGGTGCTGAGGCATTGGAATGGGTTGCCCAAGGAAGTTGTGAATGCTCCATCCCTGGCAGTGTTCAAGGCCAGGCTGGATGGAGTCTTGGGTGACATGGTTTAGTGTGAGGTGTCCCTGCCACCTCCTTTCCAACCCAAACCGTTCTGATTCTATAACTTTAAGGTTGCTTCATCTCTATTTTTCATAGCTGTTCATGAAAGACCCACAGCATGTGCCACCAGTAGGTATATGTGGGTCTGCGAAGGACAGCTTTGCCAAGCAAGAAGAGCAGGATTTTAACAAGATCATCTTCACCAAAGGAAATGAGGGTGGAAACTGAACGAGACGTTTTTGTATGCACTCACATTGGTTTATTTTTGTTCTGGAGGGTCTGGGGCTTCTTTATGTGGCAGGTTGCATCAGTGTGAGTGAGATACCCAAAAACCTCATAGATCTAGGTATTCCTGAGTTACTATAGCGTCTTCAGTAAGGCATATAGATCAGATCCTGTTTCGAGCTGTTGGGCAGGCAAGGGGAATGCTCCTGTGGAAATACTGCTCTATGTTTGCTTATGCAACTGGAATAAACGGGAGGAGGGGAGCACAAGTTACCCAAGTGCGTGGCTCTGAGTAAGGGAGGTTTGCTCAGCAGGCTCTCACATGCTCTTCAAAGGGTCTGTTAGGAAATTCCTGAACCAGGTCCCAGGGAGCTGCAGGCATGAAAGGCATGAAAGCCATTAAGGGCATCTCTCCCCTATGGGTTCTCCTGTTTGTCACAGCCTCCTCTCCCTGTATCCTCACACATGTTAAAAACCCAGCCTGCCCCAGGCAGGACTGTGTCAGTGAAGATGCAGGGGCTCTGCAGTAACTTGAGCAGTGGTTTTCTTCACCCACATGCCAGCACCTCGTGTTCCCTACGCGAGCAGGCCCATCTGAATGCTCCATCTTCAATGGCAGCTGAAGTGTTTGTGGTGTCCTGGCTCTTTACCACCAAGAGCAAAAATGTGGTGATTGCTGAGATTGTGGCTTTCCAATGGGCAAGATTCAACAGGAAAATCTGGGGCTTAGCTTGGTTTTTGAATGCCATGGAGAAAAGAAACTAATAGAGGCCAAACCAGTGCTGGGGTGGGAAAGCCTCATGGCCAGCTGTGTTCAGGTATAACAAGGAGGGGGTTTATCCCATTTTTGGGCTGTGTTTTCAGCATGGATCCTCAGCCAACTAGAGCATCCCTGTATAGCTGTCTCCAGGTTAAGTACGGTTTGCATATTAACCTCAGACAAAAGCATGCAATTGAGAGTCAATTTGTTTAAATGTTAAGATACCAAATTACTCCGTGTTCCCAATACTGCCTTCCAGTATCTGAAGGGGGCATATAGGGATGCTGGGGATGGACTCTTCATTAGGAACTGTAGTGACAGGACAAGGGGTAATGGGTTAAAACTTAAACAGGGTAAGTTTAGATTGGATATAAGGAGGAAATTCTTTCCTGTTAGGGTGGTGAGGCACTGGAATGGGTTGCCCAGGGAGGTTGTGAATGCTCCATCCCTGGCAGTGTTCAAGGCCAGGTTGGATGAGGCCTTGGGTGATATGGTTTAGTGTGAGGTGTCCCTGCCCATGGCAGGGGGTTGGAACTTGATGATCTTAAGGTCCTTTCCAACCCTAACTATTCTATGATTCTATGTCCCTAAGGCCATGTGCTGGGCTTGGACTCACCCCTTGAATCCCAGTACTAAAACCAGCGGACTCAGTGGTTCCACAAGGTAATAATCCCCCCTCTCTGCAGCCCAAAGCAAAGAGGGAGAACAGGGTGCAATGTGCAGCAGTGCCATACCTGCCTGAGGGCTGGGTAAAACACAGCAGCTGTCATTGTCCCTGCAGTGATTAATGTCCATCCAGACCTTCACAGCCCTGTAAAACCAACCGCGAGTGCCCGGCATTCCTGAGCTATAAAAGGCGCAGGAATTCGTTGACTCGAGGTATGAAACACCACAAGCTGTTTTATTTCATACCAACCACTTCAGCTTCACATGAATAAAATATCAGTGTGCATATTTTCCAGAGTAACCCTGCATGGCCTCGCTGCAGCCCGCACCTCGGTCTTCTGCCAGCACCCTCGCTTTGATGTGAAATAGGGCAGTGATGAGAGATGAGACCCAGGTCCACATTGCTCCCGTATCTTACAGGTGGATGGGTGCTTGTGTTTTCCTGGGTACCACTTGGAGGGGCAGTGGCAGAGCTATCTGCAGCCTAAAAGCTGGAGGATGGCAGTGCCCCCCCCCGAGGAGATGATGCCTGCTCTAGTGTGAGGTGTCCCTGCCCATAGCAGGGGGTTGGAACTGGATGGTCCCTTCCAACCCAAACTGTTCCATGATCATGGTGACTTCCCTGCCTGCTCAGTGGCCTCTTTGTCTCCTGTTCACATTCCCCCCCAGTGCAGCCTGCCCTGGGAGCAGAAGTGGGGTGGGCAGCAGTGACCCTCCAGGTATGTGAAGCATCCCCTAGGACAGTTGGGCTCAGGGCGAGGATGCAGGACCATGGCCGCAGCCAACATCCCTGTGCAGGCTCCAGCTTGGGGCTTTATCAATCCAGGCAAGAGAAGTCCCACTGGGAAGAGGCTGTGAGAGAGAGAACGGTGCTGCAGGGTGTGAGAAGGTGGAGGTCCCCTCATTTTTAAGAAGCCCCTTTCTGGTAGGCACGCTCTTACAATCGCATTGTGATTTGGTCCACACAGAAGAATTGCTGCTCAGGGGGTGAATTCCACCCGAGTTCAGAGCACACCCAGCAGCAAGTAGGCCAAGCACCAAATCCAGTGGGTTTCTGCTCTCACTGGAGGACCACTGGCCACCATGACTTTGCTCTGACGCTGTCTATGCCCCAAGCCCATTGAAGCAGTGCTAAGACCTGGTTCCTCCATGGGGAACATGGAGCACGCAAACCCCAGGACTGTCTAAGGAGTAGGATCAGCCTATCCCATCATCCAGGCGCAGCAGGAAGCCGCTGACTTCTTGTCACTGGTGAAGCAGGATGCAGGGATGGAGAACCCCCAGGGGCTGGAAAAGAGCCTGCAATGGGGACATGGCTCACCTCACACCCACAGGCAGCTCATGTTGTGTGGGTTTGGCCCCAGTTAGAGTGGGTTAGAGAGCCAAAGCCACCACCTGCACAAACCCATGTCTGGGGTGGGCACAGTGCTGGGGCAGCAGAACCCAGTGGGGAATGGGGTAAGCAGAAGGGGCTGCACTGGGCTGTCCCCATCCATGCCCTGTTCTTCCACAGGGACACATCTCCATCCATGCCTTGTTCCTCTGGAGGGAAGCATCCCCACCCGTGCCCTGTGTTCCTGCAGGGACATGTTCCCCCTCCATGCCCTGTTCCTCTGCAGAACACATCCTCATCCCGCTCCCTGCTCACCCATGCTGCTGCAGGCTCATCCTCACATCCTGCCTCTGCTCCATCCCTCTCACCCTCCTGTCTCCCACATCTTCTTCTGACTCAACCCAAATCCAGGCAGGGAAAGCCCAGGTCCTTGTGTGCCACCGTTTCCCCATGGTTCCCTGTTTAACGATTGAACAGCTTGAAGGGGCTGCCCTCATTTAGGTGTTTGTACAGCACATTGCACAGTGGGGCCCAAAAGCACTGTCTCAAGCTGTAAATGGCATTATCGTTGTTGTTATTATTATCCGTACATCAACTCGGTGCGCCTCTGCTTTTAAAATGAAATTGTTGCCCAAGTTCCTGGAGCCTAAATGTGGCGCAGGAGTAAGATCCCTCTCACTTAGGAGTTAATAATGCCTCACCCCCACCACAGGGCTTTTTTTAGCTGGATGAGCCTTTATGTTGGGATGCCACGAGCTCCTTATCATGTTACCCAGCTCCTGTGTGCGGGGCCTGCAGCCTTACCCGACCCCGACCCCGGCTGAGGCTGCGCTCCCAGCCCTGTCCCCAGACACCACCAGCAGGCCCCAGTGCCAGCTCCTGGGCAGGGAGGGGTCTGGCTGTGTGCTGGAGCTGCTCACCCCTGCCCTGTCCTCCCTGCTCTTCCCTGGCACTTAACCTGGGAAGGCTCCAGGATGGGAGTCGTGGGCTTCTTGTGTAGCACACAGCACAGTCGGATTGTGGTCCAAAGGATCACTTGGCCTGCAACAGTGATGGTGATGTTAGTACCAATAGTGATGCAGTAATTGCAGTAATAGCAATAGTAGAGGAAGAGATTGACCAAGAGGTTGCCATGGAAGTTGTGGCTGCCCCATCCCTGGCAGTGTTCAAGGCCAGGTTGGATGGGGCTTGGAGCAACCTGGTCTAGTGGAAGGTGTCCCTGCCCGTGGCAGGGGGTTGGAACTGGATGAGCTTTAAGGTCCCTTCAACCCAGACCGGTCTGTGATTTTATGATTCTATGAGTCTATGGTAAGAGCAATAAAACTAAGGCTGAGACTAAGAACAGGAATGAGAACAGGAGCAGCCAAGTCCAGTTGAAGATGTCCCGGCTCATTGCAGGAGGGTTGGACTAGATAACCTTTAAAGGTCACTTCCAACCCAAACCGTTCTGTAATAGGAATAGGAATAAGAAAAAGAGTACAAACTGGGATTGGAATAATAAGAAGAATATAAGAACAATAAACATAAGTGTAAAAATAAGAATAATAAATTCCGTTCACCAAAGGGAATAAGAAAATTTGTGAGAAAATATAAGAATAAGAATTTCATTCTCCACAGGTGGCAAAATAAGGGTTAGAAGATGAAGAATTTGATTGCAGAGTGTGCTGCATGTCCATGCTAGGAGAAGACCCTTTTGCCCCTGTGACCATGGGCTGCAGCCAGGGCAGCTGAAACTTAGGCCTTTCCAGGTAAAAAGCTTGACCCTTGCCCAAGGCTTTGAGTTTGCATGGAGAGAACGGGATGAT